CATTCCAGGCAGCAGGACAGCCCCCGCTGCTCCCCCGGATCTGACCCGGGGGGAGGCAGGGAGGTGAGAACCACCTCTCTGTTCCCTGCAGACGACGGCTTAGCAACATCGGTCGCAGTTTGCAGCCAGGGGGATGGATTTTGCTGGAGCACGAAGGCAATGGCGGCACCAGAGACGCCCCGAGGCTCAGCGATACCAATGCCGTGATCTTCTTCCCAAGCACCTACCACGGCCCATGGGGAAAGCTGACAGCCCCATATCACCGAGAAGGGAAGGCGCCCGGCTCCGCACCCGCACCACCTGGCAGCCTCGATGGAGGCCGTGCACCCAACCGCCCCGACGCCGCTGCTTCGCTCGGACCGAAGCCGCTGCGGTACCCGAGGGAGCGACGCAGCGACTAGAATAGTTCTGGATTTTGTTTCAACAGCTGCAGGAAGGAGGATGCTGGGGAGGCCTGGTTCCCCTGACCTCCCTTCCCTCTGGCGACTGGCAAACGAGAGACGTTTCATAGAGAAGTAGAAATTAGAGACGGAAATGATTTATTAAACCATCCTGCTCCTGGCTAATGCAAAGCTGCTCACTCCAGGAAACCCACCCGGGCTCACCCGGCCCCTGCCCAAGCTGCAGGGCTTCCACCACCCCTCGGTGATGTAACGGGGGAGGAAAATCGCCTTAAAGTAGATTTATCAGCAGAAAGTACGATCCCAGGTGGCCTAGTCTGGCCATCACGCAGCCGTTCGGCCAAGAGCGGACAAGGTGTGCCCGTGTCCCTCGAGCCGGGGGCCCTGCCTGTCCCCGCTCCCTGCCTTGAACGCCGGTGTCCCCGCGGCCGCAGCGCTGGGTGTGAGCTAAACCCTCTGCCCCCATGCGCTGGTGCTAAAACGCACGGAGCTGTCAGATCAGGCTTTGGAGCAGTTTAATGAGGAATCTGCTGATTCTTTCGGGCCCCAGTTCCAGACAAGTCACAGGATCACAGAATGTTCAGGGTTGGAAGGGACCTCTGTGGGTCACCCAGTCCAACCCCCTGCCAAAGCAGGGTCACCCAGAGCAGGCTGCACA